GTTCTCCTCTTTTTGGACTGAATGTGGATGACAATGAGGTCCTGAAGAGCGGCAGATCCACAGGATGGAGATAGCCTAGATCCCTGAATGGCTGCGTGGAGGAAAGTACCCTCCCCAACTTGGGTACTCTGATTTCTTCTAACTTGTACTAAAAACTAATTCTCTCATATTGAGGCATTAACACTTGGGTTCATTTGTTTCTTTGACTTAGTCTATTCTACATGAATCATTTTTCTACTTTTTGGAATGGACTCATAAATACCCAGTAATGAGGAGGTCCTGTTATATTTCAGGAGCACTTAGCTAGAATCCTGTTACTTCCTGTAGACAAGGTTAAAAAACATGGACAGTTACTGGCCCACATCAGAGAAGTAATGATTGACTGGACAACCAAACCTAAAAGTGAATGAGTCCCTGTCCAATTATACACATTCCTGTAGGTATCATTCTCAGCTCTATTTCAACATTTATAGTATGGCTTAAGGGACTATAAAGAATGCATGCATCTCAGACTTTTCCAAGACATGATGCTGGCATGGGTACCCTGGATTGCACGTTGATTCATGAAGATCCTCTTGTTGATTTGCACTGTGTTATCCCATCCTGACAACTACAGAGAGAATAAATGACAAAGACTCAGTGGGCAGAGGCAGAATTTCAGCTTTAAAAGGGAGGATGGTGGACTAAACGAAACGTGGTGAAATTCACTGGAGCTGACTATAAAGTTTTGAACTTGGTGCTGAGGATAAATTAGAACAAGATGGAAGAGACCCAGCTGAAAGCAACATGTTTTTTAGAAAGTTAGACATTTTAGGCTGCATTTCTATATGGATTGTTTCCAGAGTCATAATCTCATATTTTTCTGCACAGGGGAGACTCACTCCTGGTGTTTTGAAGTCAAGTGCTACACTAGACTTCAAACTTGCTCAGAGGAGAGTGCCTAGGATTGTGGAAAACAAGGAGATTAAAAAAAAAATAGGGCTGAGGTTGGAGCTCAGTGGTAGAGCACTTGCCTAGCACGTGTGAGGCACCGGGTTCCATTCTCAGCACCACATTATAAAAAATGAATTGCCAGGGGCAGTGGTGCACCCCTGTGATCCCAGCCGCTTGGGAGGCTGAGGCAGGAGGATCTCGAGTTAAAAGCCAGCCTCAAGGGAGCTGGGGCTATAGCTCAGTGGCAGAGCACTCACCTAGCATGTGTGAGTCACTGGGTTCAATTCTTAGCATCACATAGACAAATAAGTAAAAGCATTCTGTTCATCTATAACTACAAAAAAAAATTTAAAAAAAAAAGCCAGCCTCAGCAACTCAGTGAGGCCTTAAGCAACTCAGTGAGACTCTGTCTCTAAATAAAATACAAAATAGGAGCCGGGTGCAATGGCGCACACCTGTAATCCCAGCGACTCGGGAGGCTGAGGCAGGAGGATCACAAGTTCAAAGCCAGCCTCAGCAAATTCTAGGTGCTAAGCAACTCAGTGAGACCCTGTCTCTAAATAAAATATAAAATAGGGCTGGGGATGTGGCTCGGTGGTCAAGTGCCTCTGAGTTCCATCCCCAGCACCCCCCCCCATCAAAAAAAAAAAAACACAAAATAGGGCTGCGGATGTGGCTCAGTGGTTAAGTGTCTCTGGGTTCAATCCCCAGTACCAAAAAAAAAAAAAAAAAGAATAAATAAATAAAATAAAGGTATTATGTCCATCTTCTTAAAAATTTATATTGGTTAAATCTGCTTTATTATTATTATTATTATTATTATTGAAATTGAAATTGAACCCAGGGAGACTAAGGCAAGAGGATTGCGAGTTCAAAGCCAGCCTCAGCAATTTAGAGAGGCCCTAAGAAACTTAGCAAGACTCTGTCTCAAAATTAAAAAAAAAAAAAAAAAAAAAAAAAAATATATATATATATATATGGGTTAGGGATGTGGCTCACAAGTCCATTGCCAGCTCCTGGTCTTTAAAATCCCTTTCATGAAAAGAAGCATTGATCCTATGAAGCATCTACTCTGTGCCAGCCTATTCCTTGTCTGTGATGCCAATGAGGAATTTCTTCCTAATGGCTTCTCAGGAAGTCGGATGAAACACAACAGAAATCCATATCTATAGCTTCAAGGGGGAATAAAAATCGCAAAAGAAAGATGTTAGCCACAGAGAGACAAGTGGACATTTTCAAGTAGGTTTTCCTCCACATTGTCAGAAGCCCTGCAAATCCATACAGCTAGCAGTTTCGTTTCTTCTGGGTGCACATAGCAGCTCTTCCTTCCACACCATCTCAGGAAAGCTTGAACATGCAAACTTCTGAAATTTGCTGCCAAATATAAACGTGTGACCCAGAGAATAAGCACATTTTGGTAATCAGAACTTAAATGGATCTTGTACAAGGTTACAAAGTGTCATTTTTGTTTCGATATTTGCTTCTGGAAAACGTGTAGTTCCTCATGACAAACCTCTAAGAGGAAACAAAAAACCACAGAACTTTTTGCTATTAAAAATAACAATTATGCCAGGTGCTGTGGTGCATGCCGGCAATCCCAGCAGCTGGGGAGGCTGAGGCAGGAGGATTGCGTGTTCAAAGCCAGCCTCAGCAAGACCCTGACTCTAAATAAAATGGGCTGGGGATGTGGCTCAGTGCTTGAGTGCCCCTGGGTTCAATCCCCAGGATCAATAGTAATAATAATAATAATAATAGGCTGGGGATATATAGCTTAGTGGTAGAGCGCTTATCTAGTGTGTACTAGGCACTGCAAAAATAAATAAAAAAGTTAAGCATGGACTTCAAAGAAAACATATAAACAATTTTACATCTAATTCCACCCCAGATAGTCTTCCAAGGTATTATATGACCCCAAAGTCTGAGCTCTGAATTGTTTGCTATATTCTTTTATAGAGGTGCCAGCTGACCGTTAGGTTGCCTGTCTTTCTGGGTCTATAAAAAGGTCTTTATGTTATCACAGTAGGAGCTATATTCCTGTCTTTGTCCATGAACTGGTTTAGAATTCCAGCCCTGCTACTTATGAAGTTGTGCAACCCTGAGGAAGTCACTTAACCTCTGTGAGCCCCGTTGCCTCATGTATCAACCAGTGATAATAGACTACCTTTTTTTTTTTTTTTTTTGGTACTGGGGATTAAACCCAAGGGTGCTTAACCACTGAGGCACATCCCCACCCCTTTTTTCAAAATATATTTTATTTAGAGACAGGGCCTCCCTAAGCTGCTGACACTGGCCTAGAATTTTCAATCCTTCTGCCTCAGCCTCCTGAGCTGCTGAGATTACAGGTGTGTGCCCCTCCTGGCTACTTTGCAGTTTTATATTAAAAATTAGCTAATGTAGGTAGGAATGATGGCACATGACTATAATCCCAGCAACTTGGGAGGCTGAGGTAGGAGGATCACAAGTTTGAGGCCAGCCTGGACAATTTAATGAGACTCTATCTCAAAGTAAAATATAAAAAAGGCTGGGAGTGTAGCTAGGTCTAGCAAGTGTAAGCCCCTGGGTTCAATCCCTAGTACTGAAAAAAAAATCAGCTAATGTGGGTAAATCCTAATGCATGTCTATACACTGTACAATTAATGGTAGTCATCATAAAGAATAGCACTATGAGTTTACCCAGTCCTCGCTAGTAAGGCCTAACTAGATCACCCTGAGTTCTCCTATCCCATAGTCTGGACCATCTGTCTGTTTTAAGAATGTTCTCACTGCTTTGGGGATCCTATAGTTGGCAGCATAAATTGTAAACAAATACTCTTTTTTTTTTTTTTTTGGTACAGGGGTTGAATCCAGGGGTACTTTGCTGCTGAGCTACATATCCAGTACTTTCTATTTTTTATTTTGAGACAGGGTCTTGCTAAGTTGTCCAGGTTGGCCTCAAACTCGAAATCCTACTGCCACCATGCCGGGCTAAGAAAACATTCTCAAGGGTCACGGGTTTAGGTCATTTTTGACATGAGGTGTCTCTTATAAGCAGCACTTCAAGGGCTCAATGTTCTTTGCCCAGCCCCAGAGCTCTTGCCAATCATCCAGACTTGCTTTGTTGATTCCTCTGAGTTCTTCCCAGTGAGTTCTGTCCTAAGAACTTCTACCCTTGTCTTCTCTAGTTCTTACTTCTCTAAGGACTTACCACAGGAATTTCCCTACTGTGGAAATAACTGCAGCTTAGTTTTAAATGTTCCCAATGCCTCATCTTAGACAAGAAAACAAAGTTCTATCTCTAAGCCCATTTACCTCTAGGTCAATATCTTTAAAGACTCTGATCAGCAGGGCATGGTGGCTCATAACTGTGATCCCAGTGGCTCTGGAGGCTGAGGAAGAGGATCTGCAAGTTCAAAGCCAGCCTCAGCAACTTAGTGAGGCCCTCAGCAACTCAGTGAGACCCTGTCTCTAAATAAAATATAAAAAGGGGCTGGGGATGTGGCTCAGTAGTTGAGTGGCCCTGGGTTCAATCCCCAGTATCAAGAAGAAAGAGAAGGAGAAGAAAGAAGGAAGAAGAAGAAAGAAAGAAGCAGGGGGAGGAGGAGGAGGAGGAGGAAGGAGGAAATCTTTCCTGGCTCTTCTCTCACTCTCTACCCCTCTTACTCCTACTTCGCCTGTTCACCTCAAAATGCTTCCTATGCCCAAGACCCAAAAGTGTTTTCCTGATATTTTGTTTCTGGGAAAATCTAAACTAAAGTATGCCTCCATAGCATGATAGAAGGTTTTTTTTTTTTTAAGGGAACCTGCCACCGTTGAGTGTCTGTCAAGATGAAGAAGTGGAAACTCAATTTTGACCATTGGCAACAAAGACCATAACCCATTGTCCCATATGTGGAACATCTATAAAATCTTAAACATGGCACATGACATATAATTATATAATATGTAATATAGTTATGTATTAAGAATATAATATAATTGTATATATATATATATATATATATATATATATATATATATATATATGCTTTAGATTATGACATCCAACCTGTTTTTTTTTTTTTTTTTGGTACTGGGATTGAACTCAGGGGCTGAGCCACATTCCAAGCCCTTTTATTTTTTATTTTGAGACAAGATCTCACTGAGTTGCTTAGGGCCTTGCTAAGTTGCTGAGGCTGGCTTTGAACTTGTGATCCTCCTGCCTCAGCCTCCCAGGCTGCTGGGATTACAGGCATATGCCACCCTGACTGGCTTCCAAAGCACCTGTGTCAATTTTATTGACACATTCACAGAATTGAAAACTTGGTATTCAATGGGCTAAAGCTGACTGTGAGTATAGACCAGGACCTATTGACTGACAGCTGTAGGATTCTGGGTATGATGACATTTCTTCTTCCAATCCTGGTGCTAGGGGGTGCAGAGGGGTGTTTGGGGAAAGCTGTGGGCTGAGACAGAGAAAAAAATGTTGTACGATGGAGGAGGCTGGGGATATAGCTCAGTTGGTAGAGTGCTTGCCTCGCATGCACAAGGCCCTGGGTTCAATCCCAGCACCCACCCACCCACACAAAAAAGTGTATGATGGAGACCAGGGAAATTAGAACCCAGTGAAGTAGGAGATGGGCTGGATGCATGAATTTCAGGCACCAAGGGTAAAAGCCAAGTCAGGGCTTCCACCCCTTCCTGACATTTATGTGAGGAGCCTGCCAGAGAACAATGCCCCTGATTATCCCAGCAGATCTACTAACACTTCCCTCAATGGTGGATCCATCTGTATTGGAGGAAAAGAGAAGGAAATGAAGAGGTGACTGGGGCAAAAGCAATTGGCCCTGCAATTGGCAGAGTAAGGACACCTGCAGCCCAAGGGCATGTCTGTAACTGGGGGAAGGAAGAGTAAAACAAAAGGTCACCAATACCAAGGGGATTTCCAAGAACAATCCACAATAACAAGAAATCAATCACCTGCCTTCCTTCCTGCTGATTTTATGAGGTTGTTTTTTTTTTCTTACTGAAATTTGTGGGTTTACAGAGGAGATGTACTTATAGGGTTTCTGGGGGAGAAATTTTTTTCCAGGTGCTATACCAAAGAGCAGTTTTTAACGTTATCATCATCATCATCATCATCATCATCATCATTATTTATTTTTTTGGAGGGTACCAAGGATTGAACTCAGGGGTGCTTAACCCCAAGCAACCTCCCAGCCCTTTTTGTTTTTTATTTTGAGACAGGGTCTCACTAAGTTGCTTAGGTCCTTGCTTAGTTGCTGAGGCTGGCCTTGAATTTGTGATCCTCCTGCCTTAGCCACCTAAGCCACCTGGATTACAGGTGTGCACCACCATGCCCAGGCAAAGCTGGTTTTTAAAAATGAATTAACATATAGAGCAGTTTTGGGTTCACAATAAGATCAAGTGGAGACAGCTTGGGAGACTGAGGCAGGAGGAATGTGAGTTCAAAGCCAGCCTCCACATCTTAGTGCAGCCTAGGTGACTTAGCAGGACTGTGTCTCAAAATAAAATATAAAAAGGGCTGGGGATGTGGCTCATGGCTAAGCACCCCTGGGTTCAATCCTCAGTACCAAATGAATAAATCAATCAGGTGGGGAGTATAGAAGTCCCCCATGTGCTCTGCCACCTCTGCCATCAACACACCCAACCACAGTGGTACATCCATTAAACACTGGTGACCCCTCGCTGACACGTCATTGTCATTCAGGGTCCACAGTTTACAGTAGGGCCATTCTTGGTGTTGTACATTCTGTGGGTCTTGACAAAGGTCTGAGGACACATATCAACTGTTGTAGAACAGTTTCACTGCCTTGAAAATCCTCTGTGCTCCTGAAGAGCAATTTTAATTCTATGAGAAAGTTGAGTGGCCATCTATTAAGAGCAATTGTCAAAGTTGGCTGGCTATCCAGGAGCAGTGGCACAGGCCTGTAATCCCAGCAGTTTAGGAGGCTGAGGAGGAGGTTCGAGAGTTCAAGGCCAGCCTCAGCAAAAGTGAGGCCCTAAGCAACTCAGTGAGACTCTGTCTCTAAATAAATAGGACTGAGGATGTGGCTCAGTGGTTGAGTGCCCCTGGGTTCAATCCCCGGTACCTGTCCCCTCCCCTCCCCCCCACACAAAAAGTTGGCTGGCAAATAGTTTAAGGAATAAATCAGACTCTCCCACAATTGATAATGGATTAGAATCCACGGAGAAAGCTGTAGAATACCAATCCTGGCCATACTTCAAATGATTGTATTATCTAAAACTGGACAACCTCTATCCCACCCCCCCAATATAAGAAAACCAAAAAAGCCCACCCCAGATACTTGAAAACTGTAGGTATTTAACTGTAATGCTATAATTTCTACCACCTACTCTTAGTAGTTTTGTTTCACTAATTATAATAATCAGATCCATTACTGTAAATCATCACAGCTGTTCCTTTGCAAGGACAGGACATGGTTTCTGTTGGGTGCAGAGCAGGCTGAACTGTGTTGTCTGCAGGGCAGGCTGAACAGATGTTGGCTGCAAGATAGCCCACGCACTCAAACCCCCCTCTATCTGGTCCCTTATCACCTGTTTGCCTCAAGTCTGAACATTCAACCCTGCTCAAGGCTGAACACTTAACACCCCCCCCGCCCCCCGCAGACCCAGAGGCCCCATTAGTTTTGGGCTATAAAAACTCCCTCCTGCCAGGCCTCCCTCTCTCTTGTTCTCTTTGTCTTTCTTGCGCGCTCTCTCTGTCTCTCTCTCCCTCTTCATCTCTCCTCTCCTCTTCTCTCTCTCTCTCTCTCTCTCTCTCTCTCTCCCCTTCTTTCCTTCTTTCTTTTCTCTTTGTTGCACTGCTGCAATAAAGATCTTTTGGTTGCTCCGAGTGTTGTGGTCACTTTCCTTTCATTTGGTGCTGAAACCCGGGAGAGGGTTAGAACCCACTTTGGGGTCCCTCTTCCTTCGGAAGTGCCACTCACTGGATGGCCTGAACCCATTTTCTCGACCGCCAGAACTCCATCCACCACCAGCCTTCGATTGGTGAGTTTCCCCTTCCTGGAGTCCTAAACCCAATGGTGGTGTCAGGAGGATTTGACCGTTGATTGTCCGGCAAACCTCTTTGCCCACCTGCGGGGAGGAAAACACCCCACCACAGCCTTTAAGGCTATGGTGGCCCTCAGGGACTCCTTCCTAGGGCAGAATAGACTCCTGGGTTCAAAATTACTCCCTTCCCTTCCCAGCTGGTAGTTTACCAGCATAGGCTTTGTAGGTCTTCCTCGAAGGACTCTGTAACCTCCAGGGACACACAACAGAGAACTGAACATCACACCCCAACCAGACATTCACGGTCTCGGTGGCTCTCCTAAAATCCTAGTCCTCACACCTTCAAGACTCGGCCGCCAGAGAGATGCTTACCCTTCCCTTCCTCTCTCTTCCCCTGTCTCTCTCTTTCCCCTCTTTCCGGCCCTGGGAGTCTCTGGCCTCTCCAGGAGGGGTCCCGAAAAGCCTTGGCCAAGGTCCCCCATGGCTCCGGCTCCCACGGCTCTGGCTCCGTCCAGGACGAGAGCTTCGACTGTCAGGATTCGGTGACGACCAATATCTGCAGCTCGAACCTGCCACTAAGGCACTCCTGATTTTTGGCTCTAGCAGGGACACCCCTTTTGCCAATAAATCAGTTTTCCCTACAATGCCTCTTGGATAACCTCAAAACCCTCTCCTTGACACCAGACATCAAACCCAAAAAATTGATCAAATATAGCACCCAAGCCTGGCCCACGTATCCCTTAGACAACCAAAGCAGATGGCCCCCCTTTGGGGTCCCTGGATCTCAAGTTCCCCCACAAGCGACCCCTATGGGAACTCGGCTGACTCTTAACAATAGATAGAAACAAAGTCAATTTTGACCAACTTGATCTTAAACACCTACCAAAACCAGTTAAGCCAAAACACAGTCATTCCTGGGAGCAATGAAGGACAAGAACAGCTAGAAAATAGGAGACAGCAACTAAGCCAACAGGCTCCATGGGGAATGTTCAGTCAAGTATGGCCCTGGCTCCTCCCCCTCACAGGACCCCTATTAGTCCTCTCTATGTTTCTCCTAATAGGACCATGTCTATTAAATTGCCTACAGAAGTTCATGCAAGATCAGATACACAAATTCACCAACAAGCTGGTCAATCAACTACTTCTTTAAGACTACCAGCCCTGATGCCCAAGATGGACACCTACGACTCATGACCAACTCCTCTGGCTCCAGAGACTCTGTGCCCATCTAAAACCCTCTCTAACCCCTTTTTCTAGTTTTCACAACCCCTCTTTTACTTCCTAGGAATGAGATCTACTCTCCAGCACGTCCACTCTGCTTATTCTGTCTGCTCTACAGTATCCCCACAAGGAAGCATCAAACCTAAACTCCCCCTGGTACCACCATGTCTCCCACCTTAAAAAGGCACTTGTTCCAAATGTCCAGTCCTGGACTTCCACCACACCCACCAAACTCAAAACTTCTCGCCAACCCTCTTCTTCATTTATTAATCATTATTCTCTCTCAAGTTTTTATCTCAAACCACAGATACCGCTTCTACATCCAAGCAACTTGACATCAGGATGACACCACCCACTCTCAGTTTATGGGTCAAGGCGAATGCCCTTCCACTGGCTGCAATCAGGCTGTCACCCTTAACATTACTGGATTCAACCAAGCCACCTCCAATACTTCCTAGAGTCCCTGCTATAGGACCAGTGGCTGATACCAAGAGTCTCCTCCATCCAGGACTGGTTTGATGCCATCGAGGACTTGTGGCTTCAAGGAACTTTTATGGACTTTACCCCTACCACAGTAGTTGTCTGTAGCCACTGAGTGTTATTTCTGGCTGCCCTGGTGTTCTCAGACCTGTCCCCCGAACATTCCTCCACTTCCCCTTCTAGGTCTAACGCTGCCCACCATTAAGCAGAAAGTAGCCAGAGAACTTTACGCTGTCCCCCGTGTCACTTAGAAATACAAAAAGGGAGAAATGTTGGGTGCAGAGCAGGCTGAACTGTGTTGTCTGCAGGGCAGGCTGAACAGATGTTGGCTGCAAGATAGCCCACGCACTCAAACCCCCCTCTATCTGGTCCTTTATCACCTGTTTGCCTCAAGACTGAACATTCAACCCTGCTCAAGGCTGAACACTTAACGCCCCCTTGGGCCAACAAGGCAGCTTGCAGACCCAGAGGCCCCATTAGATTTGGACTATAAAAACTCCCTCCTGCCAGGCCCCCCCCTCTCTCTCTCTCTCTCTCTCTCTCTCTCTTTGTCTTTCTTGCGTGCCCTCTCTGTCTCTCTCTCCCTCTTCATCTCTCCTCTTCTCTTCTCTCTCTCTCTCTCTCTCTCCCTCCCTCCTTCTTTCCTTCTTTCTTTTCTCTCTGTTGCACTGCTGCAATAAAGATCTTTTGGTTGCTCCAAGTGTTGTGGTCACTTTTCTTTCATTTTCCTTATAAAGAACATAACCTTTCATCTAAGTTTAAATCCTCACTTTGTAATTCCTAGTCTCAATATGGCTCTTTTGCAATGTTAATTTCAAACACTTTCTTTATAAGCAGATCATAGCAATTTAACTGCTGAGACCTAAAAATGAAATTCATTGAGGATCCATTGAGTACTGCACACCAAAGAAAAAATCCTCAGGACCACGTGAAACATTAATCCGAAGAAAGCGAGGCTCCCAGCACTGTCTAATATAGTAACCACTCATCTACTATGCATTTAAAATGTAGTTAATAGGAATTGAAATGAGCTGGAAGTGTAAGATACATATCAATTTCAGAATTTAGCATCAAAAAGGATTGTAATGCATCTCATGAGGATTTTGTGGTCGTTTGGTTTTTTTGCAGTGTTGGGGATGAAACCCAGGATCTGTGCCTGCTAGGTAAGTGCTCTACCACTAAGCTATATTCCCAACCCTTATTAATAATGTTTTTGTGGATCACATGCTGAAATGGTAATACTTTGGACTTATTGGGTTAAAGAAAATATATTATTAGAATTAACTTCAGGGCTGGGGATGTGGCTCAAGCGGTAGCATGCTCGCCTGGCATGCGTGCGGCCCGGGTTTGATCCTCAGCACCACATACAAACAAAGATGTTGTGTCCACCGAAAACTAAAAAATAAATATTAAAATTCTCTAAAAAAAAAAAAAAAAGAATTAACTTCACTCATTTCTTATTTTTTAAAAAAATATTCTTGTAGTTGTAGATGGACAGAATGCCTTTATTTTATTTGTTTATTTTTATGTGGTGCTGAGGATCAAACCCAGTGTCTCATACATGCTAGGCAAGTGCTCTGCCACTGAGCCCCAGACCTGGCCCCATTTCTTATGTTTTTAATGAATCTACTAGAAAATTTTTAAAAAAAATATATTTATATATGCTTCCATTTCCTTTTTTTCTTTCTTTTCTTTTCTTCTTCTTTTTTAAATCTCTTTGTCTCTTTTTCCAGTATTAGGGATTGAACCCAGGAATACTCTACCACTTAGCTCTACTGGTCTCCCCCCCACCACACCTGCCAACTCCCCCTTTTTTATGTTACCAGGGATTGAACCCAAGGGTGCTTAACCACTGAGCCCCATCCCCAGCCCATTTAGAGACAGGGTCTCACTGAGTTTCTTAGGCCCTCATTGAGTCACTGAGGCTGGCTTTGAACTCATTATCCTCCTGCCTCAGCTGCCGAGATTACAGGTGTGGGCCACCACACCCAATCCCAGTCTCTTTAAATTTTATTTTATTTTTTAAATTTTAAGGCAGGGTCTTGCTAAATTGCCCAGGCTGGCTTCAAACTTGTGATCTTCCTGCTTCAGCCTCCTAAATTGCTGTGATTATGGGCAGGTGCCACTGTACCCTGCTCTGGGGTATTTCTATTGGGTGGTGCGCTGTAGCCTATCTATCAGGTGCTTGGGTAGACAATCTGTTGGAAGGCATGTCAGGAGGCTGGTCTTCAATTTCCTTTGCAAAGCAAGGGCAGCGTTTCCTTAGGAGAGGTTTATTTGTGGGGTTGCTGGAGGTTACTTGAAGGAAAAGGTGAGCCTTATTAGTCCACAGTAACTGGGAGTTTTTGCTTACATTTCTATTCTAGAGATTGTACCTGATTCCTGTATTTCTCAACCTCTTCATTGTACAATTTACATAATACAAATTCCATAGCTCAATAAGCCTGGCTGAATTGGTAACAGTTGCACAACCATCACCAGATTCCAGTTTTAAGACAATTTCATCACCTCATAAAATGTCCTTGTGCCATTTACATTCAAACCCTGTTCTCAGCTACCACCAGGCCACCACTGATCTGCTTTCTACATCTGTTGTCTTACTTTTACTAGAAATTCCAAATAGATGAGATCATACAATATACAGTCTTTCATGTTGGCTTCTTCCTCTTAAAATCTCTCTCTCTCTCTCTCTCTCTCTCTTTCTCTCTCTTTCTCTCTCTCTCTCTCTCTCCTTTCCCTCCTCTCTCTTCTCTGTACCAGAGATTGAACCCATGGGTGTTTAGCCACTTAGCCACATCCCCAGTCCTTTTTATTTTTTATTTCGAGTCAGGGCCTCTCTAAATTGCTGAGGCTAGTTTTGAACTTGCAATCCTCCTGCCTCAGCCTCCTGAGCCCCTGGGATTATAGGTGTGTGCCACTGCACCCGGCTGGGCCTACTTTTGGAGGAAACAAAAACAAATTGTAGGGAATTTTGAGAAATTCCTAGTAACTTGGTCTGAGCCTAGAAAAATTGCCAACATTAACTAAAAGCACATTGAAAGCTTCAGGTTATAAGGATACTCCAAATCTCTCTTTAAAATTGAAGCTGGGCATGGTAGTACACGCCTGTAATTCCAGCAGCTTGGGAGGCCAAGGCAGGAGGGTTGTGAGTTTTTAAAGCCAGCCTCGGCACCTTATAGAGGCTCTAAGAAAGTTAGCAAGACCCTGTCTCTAGAAAAAGTATAAGAAAGGGCTGAGGATATGACTTAGTGGTTAAGCACTCCTGGGTTCAATCCCTGGTACCAATAAATAAATGAAAGAATATTGACTATATTACCTAAAGAGTATTCATTTCCCCTGCTCATGTTTAAAGATTATTTAATCTATACATTATTATACTCAGTGTAGATTGATATGTGGTATTTTGCATTTCTTCTCCTTGAGTATCCTTTTTTTTTTTAGTTGTATATGGACCCAATACCTTTATTGCCGCAGTCTGGCTGGGCACAATTCAGGAGCCACTTGTCAAAAGAAATGAACTTTTTATTTTTAGAACACACACCACACCACACAGCTCCTCAGGAAAAACCCTCAGAGCCCAACTGCCACCACCGGCTTCCCACAAGCCTCTCAACCTCCCCCACTCCTCCTGCTCTTGAGGCCGATTGGCTGGGTCGCGTGGGCGGAGCCAAAAAAAGTCCCCCAATGAGCAGCTCCATAGTCTGAAAGGGCGGGGAAACAGCCCAATGAGCATCACCGCAGAGGAGCCAATCAGCTAGAAGTTGCTGGGGCCGCTATGAGCCAATCATCAGCTGGGAGCTGGAAGTTTGCTGGCAGCTGGAAGTTTGCTGGGGCCCCTTTGGCTGTGGCTCTCAACATCTCCCCCTCTCTGTTTAAACAACAAGCATGTGGCTTAGGGACCATGCCTGCCTTAGGCTGTCCAATAGTACATATGGTTCTTACCCGTAATCGGATGAGCTGACCTCAAGGCGTCAGCCTCCTGTCTTAGGTTGGTACCATTGCAATTGGATCTTACCCTTTATTGACTACCGGTTCAGCATACAGCCACACCTGTGGATGGGTCTTTGTACCAGCGGGGGGTGAGGTTCTTTGCCTCACCTCTGTTGGCCCCCAAATTTTAGCTGAACAACCATGACAAGCAGAAGGGAGGAAGATACACCAAGCCAATTGATGGCTCCTTTTGGAAAAATTGTACCACCGATGACACCATCAGCAAAAATACCCTAACACTACCACAAGTCGCTACACCAACAGATAGTTCACAATGCATACAAGTGAGTTCACAATGCATACAAGTGATACATAGTCCAGGGAAGTTCTGCAAGCAGTTCAGTGATGGCTATTGCAGAAGCTGTAGATTGGTTTTATCTTTGTCTTCACCAGCACTGGGATGAAGATAGGAATTCTGGCAATAATGGCTAAAGAAAAAATTATGTAACATTCCAGAAGGCACTAAAAGAGAACAATTTTCTTAACAATTTACATTATCTTGAACAGAATTATTAAATATAATGAAAAGGAAAGGTGAAAGTAAACAAACAGATCTGTTAACCTCCTTTTTTGTTCACATTTTAAAAGAATCCTCAACAGCTGTTTACCCAATTTAAATTAAACCATTTAAATCACGTGAATAAAAAAAATTATTTGGATCCATTTTTTCATGAGCGCTCATCATATATGATATATGGATATACATACATACAAACATACAACATAAAACACAAGTGTGCATACATAATATAATACGTACAACACATAACATAATAGTAAAAGCCTTATAACTTTTTACAGGTGAAATCTCCATTGCAATGTTTAAAAACTCTATAGTCAAAAAATAGAACTGATCAGCAAAACATTAACCTAGGTCTGTATGAGCTCAAAAAACAAAATAGAACTTCATGATGTGGGAAAGGGTAATAATAAAATAGATATTGAAAAAAGCATCCTGGTTCTGTCGCAGATGTAAGGATAGCCAAACTGGAGTTTTGGATATCAGCTGTTATGGATTTGAGCCAAATCATCTTCTTTTTGGTCTGTAGAAATCACTTTTGTTAATCTCTCTGGAATCCAAATCGGCTGCTGTTCTCCCTGTGGAAACACACAAACAGACCCCCGACTCCAGACAATTACTGGGTCAGGACCTTTCCATTGTCCTGTTAGAATATCCTTCCAAAGTACCTTGGGCTTATGTACATTTTTTGGACACATATGCCTTTCTGCAGCACTAAGCCCTGATGAATCCAAATTTAAAAAGTTTAGAGTAAAAAGGGTTATTTTAAGTTTATCTTTGGGGAATATATACCCCTTCCCAATTCCCTCTTTTTGCTTTAATAAGTACATTTTAATAGTTTGATGAGCTCTTTCAACTATGCCTTGTCCCTGTGGATTGTATGGGATTCCTGTTATATGAATAATGCCAAATGATGAGCAAAATTGTTTAAAAGAGGTAGAAGTATAACCAGGGGCATTATCTGTTTTTAACTGTTTTGGAACACCCACAGTGGCAAAATTTTGTAAGCAATGAGCTATAATATCTTTAGTTTTTTCTCCGGCATGAAGGGAGCCCATCAAAAATCCAGAAGAAGTATCAACTGTAACATGCAAATATTTTAATTTTCCAAATTCTGGCAAGTGTGTGACTTCCATCTGCCAAATATGGTTAGGTATCAGTCCTCTAGGATTGATTCCAAGATTAACTTG